GTTTTTTATTCATAATTTCAACAAGACTCTAAATTATTTCAAATTAATACAAATAGCATTTCTGTCCTATTAACTTGAAATGGCAGCAGGATAATTTATGAATCAAATACGTTTGTTCATATGCTAGCTTGACTAAACCTTTGAACAATTTTCCAAATCACGAACACATTTGTAAACACATTATTGTTTTTCAGTGCTTGTATCTTGTTTTCAAATGAGTAGTCATTTTTTATGAAACCTATTTCTTAATGTAGATGAGTACAGTAGGTGCTTTACATGGTTCAAAGCTCCAGAAATTACATTCAGCATCAGAGAGGCTGGTTGAGCTACCATTCATGCTGTCTGAATAGTGACACGGCACTCTTGATTTCCTTCTAAAGAATAGTCAGTTGCTCTTATAATTTTCACATGGCTATCACTCCATGGAAATTGATGTTTTCACTTTCAGAAATTAAACAAGTCTTTAACATAGCTCAAAGCAAGAGTGGAGAGCAGAATGTAGAGAGCAGTCCTCAGTATTCTTTGGATGAAGTTTTACTTAACTTTTGGAAAATTGGCTTCTAATTAGAATAAGTAACGTCTTAATGCTGTCCTTAATCTCTTATGTGTCTTAACAAAAAGAAATGAAAGAAAAGTGTCCAATGGTCTAATGCCTTTGTCTGCTACAGCGTTAGCCACCTACATTGGGGTATACATTCCTAGGATGGCAATACTAGGAGAAAGTTGATCTGAAATTCTAGTTGCTAAATAGCTTCAGAAATTATGAAGCTCCTTCAGTATTAGATTGATTTTACTGTTCAGAAATGTTGTCTTTCCAAATCTGTTCCATTCAAATCAGAATGAATGTAAATGTTACCATCCACTGAGAGCCGTGCAGCTGTTAATTTTTTAGAATATGGTTTTCAAGTGAGTCTTTTAAATCAAGAATCCTTCCATTTTTACTGATAATTTCCTACACTGGGGATAGAGGGCTATAGTTGATTGAACAGAGCTACAGTTTTCCTGGTGTTTTGGCTTTTTTATCCTGCAGTTTCATATTGTGTTATGAACTTTTTACATCCAAAAAATTCTTTTAAACCTTGTATTACTTTCTGCAATACAGTAGAACTCAAAGGAGATACTAAGCCTGCTGAAGACTAGATTAGAGCAGGGCGGCCTGCTGAACCCTGACAGATGGTCTCTAACCCTCTTCCCTCCCCAAAACAGGCAGGGAAATAGAATAAGGCAGAGAGAATTATGGATTGGAAAAAAAATCTAAAACAGCTTTAATAAAATAATAATAAAGGACTAATAAGGAAATAACAAAAATAATGAACTATATACAAATACATACAAATCCGATATTGAACCTGACTCCATCTCTGATAGCAATCACTACTGATGCTGCAGAGCAGGTGGGCCCAGGGAAGCTCCAGGCTCAGTGGCAGAGGGGAGCTGGTTACAGGAGCTGGATTCAGGAACTCAGGGATCAGAGGCAGAAGATCGGGCAGAGTCCTCCTCAGATGCCAACCCTTGAAGAAGAGGGATTAACTCCCATGATTCCTCAGCTTTGTACGGAATATGACGTATATGGAAGGGAACACTCTTGTTGGTCAACCGTCCTGTCTGTTCCTCACTGGAGGTGCAACATTTTACTTCCTTGTGATGCCTTTCACTTCCTGGCACCCCCAGCATGGCACACAAGACTCAGCAGTGACCTTGATCACTCTACAAGCAAGTACAAGCAAGAGCCTTTCTGCACACCAGTCTGCACATCAGGCGTAATCACTTCTGTTAGCAGACACTGTCTGAAAAAACATGCTGCTAACTTCAGAAAGTGCAACTTCTTGGAAGAGACTGGGCTGAAAAGTAAAAATCATTGAACAGAATTGGTTCTTTTCAAACAAGGACAAAGACCCATTCTTGCAATTCAAAAACACGTGACGTATGATATTCTTCCAATCATATTTCATGGGTGAAGCAATACAGTTTTACCATCTTCTTTTACTCAGATATCATTTATCTGTTCACCATGCTCATTAAAGTGTGTTGCTTATGTAGGTGCATGTCTAGCACTTTGGGTTGGATTCATCTTACTGTTATCTAGTATGATGGCAGTTAGTTTTGAGCTAGTTTCCTGTCTTCTCTTTTTTAGTCAACACCTAAAAAAGACCTTTTTGCAGTTGTGATTCACCTCTTTCAAAGGCAAATAGAGTAGTTTAGATGAAACTCCTCCTTGTTCATTTATACATTAATTTTAACTTAATTCTGAAGTCTCTGTGAAATGTACAGAAATAGTAAGAATGCATGTGTTGGAGTAAAAAAGAAATTGAATTGTTATATGAAAACAGTAAAGGATGTATTTTGCCTACTTTGTAGTACTTGTTTCCAAAACTGATACGATATTGCATATGAAAGATATCTGTTTGTAGAGCTCCACAATGCATTCTTTGCAATTTTCTTCTGTCTTGGTTGCAATTTAGAAGTGTTAATAAGTTAATGTATTGCTTCACTTAAGAGTAGCCATATTCATTCAAATGAACTTTAATGGGGCTTATCTCCTGGTAGCACATACTTTATTGCTTATTTATAGTTTTAATTCTAGAAGTTATCAGTGTTCAAGATGAAAATAGAAATGGAAGATTTGTTTCTTTTCTGCAAGTGCACTGTGACTGCCATTCTCTGAAGATATTGTTATTTGAATTACCACTATTACTCCATCTGTAATGAAAAATGTTTTTACTATAATAGTCATTTTAGCATTTGTTAATTAACCCTAATGTAGCCAATCATCTTTGTGTTTAAAAGTGCAGATGAAAGCAAAGGAAGTTTTACCACTGAATTCAGAAAACTTTAGATGAGACTTTCTATGCATTTTATTGGAACGATTTTTCTGAAATGGGTGACATTTGACTGTCAGATTATTTTTTTTCAGATCAAGTCAAACTACTCAACTCTGTTTAAAAAAACCAGTTTTCATAATGATGACTGATTTTTTTAATTATATGTGATACGAAGGCATTTTTCATCGCTTCTCATTTTATCTCAGATTAATTAGGAAGCCAGTATGGGCAAGATAGAATAACAGCAGATATCTCTGATCATCAGAGATCATTTAATGCGATATACTGAGCGGAAATCTTGTTTTGTTTTTGTTTTGCTTTATATACAGGAAGAATTTGAAAATCCAATTTCATCAAGGAAAACTATGTAGGTAGAAAAATGCATTTGCGCATGTCTTTGCACATATTTTTTTTGTGCAATCCCATTTATTATTATTATCATAGAATCATTAAAACATAGATCATTAGAGATTGTAAGGGAACTCTGGAGATTATACTGCTGAATACCCACATATACTGTCTTAATTTATCTAAATACTTTTTTTATCATCGTTACCACCTTTCCAAGGAATATTCTAATTACTTAGCAAGTACGTTCTCCGAATAATCTCAGAAGCTGATGGGAAATCGCCTTTCTTTTCTGGCACCAAGTTCACCTTCTATAGCAAGTGAATGGCCTGTCAGATGTATCTGTGTGATTTTCCCTCAACACACCAACTTTAATGTCAGCCTTTGTAACAGATTTTCCTCAGCTCTGTTGGGAAATTTCAGCTCCCACGAGCTTTCAAAATTTACATAAACAATATAGCTCCCACTCTTATATTTCTTCATTGCTTCTAGTTTACAAAAAAGACCAACAGGTATCACTTATTTAACTGCTGATGTTCCTTTATTCATGACCCAGTCATTTGAGCCCATGAGAAATGAAGAGAGTCAACCTTTTTTAATAAGGCACTTTTAGAATGATATAATATTAAAAGACAAGTAGCAATAGTAATGATAAGGTGAGGTTACTCCTGATCCAGAAAAAGAGCATGACAACAGAAAAAGATGATCCAAAAGTCAATAAAGAAGGTTCTGAATTTCAAAGTCCTTATCCTCTTTGACACAATAATTGGGCATTAATTAATTTTTAGTGGACTGGATCTTTAAGTGCAAATAAATAAATAAATAATGAAATGATTGTGAAAACAGTATTATCTTTATACATTCTGAGATCCCTAAAGGACAAAGGTTAAATCTCATTTGCAGGCTTATGCAAAGAATTATGTTCTTATGCTTTGGTCAGTATCCAGGACCAATGATTTTAGATTCCTAATCAGTATAGTATTCATTGATGTAAGTTACAAGGGGTGGCTTCACCTCTATTCATACAGTAACCCTCTTTAAAGAACTTAGTCTAAATAGATTTGAATGTAATTTCTGTGTATTGCAAGGCTCTCCACAATGCCAAGGTAGCAGGAAGAGCCCTTCATGAAAATGAAATGTGAGCCGATAGTGCCTTCGAGTGACAGGGCATATCCACGTGGAGTCCTCTTTTATGTATGTGCCTGTGTATGTGTTTATTACCTTGAACATTTTGAGCTTATTCAATGTCTATTCTTAAATGATGAGAAATTAGGAATTAATTAGTAGGTCTGATAATAAAACCATGTGGTCTCCAGAGGCACTCCATCCATAAACTTCTTTTCTTTTTTCTGAGGATGTCTTATTCTAACATTCACACTGAGATTTTTGCCATGCTGCCTCTATAGGTTGCTAGGCAGCAAAGCTTTATCCCCAAACTGTTACCTCTATTCTGCATGCTGAGACTCTTTCAGATATCCTCAGCTGTTTGATTCTTCTTGCTGACGGGTTTCCTTGATTGAGAGCAACTGCTTCCAAAGGTCAGTGGCTCTCTGTGGATCAGCCCTTTTCTCCAATGTGCGCAAATCTTCTCATTTTATACTTCAAGAAACCCTGCAGCAATCAAACCTCGGTTCTGATTGCAACAAGCCGTGTGCAATTGTCCCCTCCTGTATGCTACATGGTGCCAATCATTATGTATAATAATGTTTATATGGAAAGTGATTTTGAAAAGTCGTAAGGGTGAAAATATTTATATGTGCCAAGGCTAATGAAAAAGCCATTGGAAGACGTTAAAGTTGTGGGGGTTTTTTTTGTTGTTTTTTTTTTTAGGACAGGTTCTTGATGTGCTGGAGAAATATAATCTGAGCAAGAAAACTCTTGTGTACTTTACATCTGACCAAGGGGCACATGTTGAAGAAATTTCCAGTTCTGGAGAAGTCCATGGAGGATACAATGGCATATATAAAGGTGAATATTCTCGGATGATTTTTAAAAACTATTTCAGAAGCTATCGTCTCCTTGGTTTTGCTCCAAAACTGTAATGTACTCTGTGGCCAGGGTCAAAAGTATATTCTTTAGTAGTAAACTTTTCATGACTGTCATTCTAAATTCAGATGTAGGCAGTAAATATAGGGATTTACTTGTCGCATACAGCAGCTCAATCAGAGTACCTGCTCAGCCAGGGCTCTATGGAGTTCTAACACTAGCAAATGTACTCTTGAACTGGGTTGATATATGGCTTTGGAAGGATATCAGCTCACAGCACTTTAATAAAATGGCTGGATAGCAGAATAGAAAGGAAAAAAATATGATTTGTGAGCCAG